CTCGAAAAAATCAGATTTTTAAAAATTCATAACTCGATAATTTGGGCACTTATAAAAAAATAAGTCAACCTTTTTTTTATAAAGATCGAAAAAATCATGCTCGTGCGTGGTAACACGCATGTAATGCCAGCGAAGTAGCACGCATTGTGCTTGCATTAAAATAGCCTTTACACGTGACTGCAAAATGCAAACGAAATGCATGCGTTATAACCATCACTTCGTGCCCCGCACGTGACGTGCGGAACATGCGGCGTACGATTGTTATCTGGGATGGTATGTATGATTTTAAGATGGTTAAAAGTAGATGTTATCCGGTACCATCATTATGCTGCTCAGTACTATGAAAGATGTTACAAAAATATGGTTACGTTACCCACTACATTCAAGATGTTCCTCCGTACCAAGAAGACTAGAGACAGAAGGAAAAACTCGGCTGTTTGCCTACAGAGAGCTGTGGGCCGGATTGTGACACTATGTGACAGCGTATGTGTATATAGTTAAACATGTGTGGGCATGCGCAGAATACTAGTGCGCCTCTGGGTAGTACGCCTAATCGTGGTGTAACAATCATCGTTACAGCTCGAGTTGTTCCTCCTGTCTCTAGTCTTCTTGCTCCGTACAATCTGGATTGTAACTGATAAAATCTAGATAGCTCTCCGTATATATAAGATCAAATATGGTACATAATACTGTCGTAAATGAAAAAAAAACAACTAGTTAAAAACTAACAAACTTTTTAAAAAACATTAACTCGTACCATCTATTTCTCTCCGTGCATATATATAACAGATTATACATGATATTTATAAGATCATCAAAACTACTTTTGTAATGTTTCTTGAACGATTCTCAATAGTTCAGAATCACGCGTCTTTGCGTATGTTTTTTCATTGAAGGTTACAAAAATATTCTGTTTCCCTTTCCATTATGTTCGGATGCTACCGGTGCGCGTGGCAGGCTCCGTACAAAATAAAGTCAACGCAATGTGATTATGACAACCATAAATACTTCTATTCCAAATTTTACAATCCATTGTTGGTATAGTAACCATATATTTATTGACTTTAAAGCGCACGCAGGCGTAGACTGTTTCATTTTTTTTTCAAGATATCGGTCAGTCAAAGTGTGTCAACAGGTTAGCGTTTAATTATTAAATAAACATTTAATAAAATTATCGTATTTATGACCATATAAGAGATTTTAATATATGAGGAATTTCATATGAGAATACGAGGTCATGTCTCGGATTTTTCTTAAAATTCGGTAAATTTAAATTTTTTCCTTTTGTGATTTCAAGCACAAGTCTTTTGTAAGATTGCAGCAAGCATATTGTAAGCTTATGTTAAGCACATATGAACCTTTTATTGCAAGCTTACATTAAGCTTTCACTGCAAGGATGCAACAATCTGTCATTGCAAAATTGCCGCAACATTTTTTTGAAACCCGACAGCAACCTTTCATTGCAAGCTTGCTAAAGTGGGACATTTTGTTACTTGAGGCAATCTTGTTGTAAGCTTGGGAACCTGGCATTTTTATAATGCTGCAAGGTTGTTACAAGTTTTTGTGCTGTCTGGGAATGAAGATAAACCGTCAATTCTTGTTTTGTTGGAAAGATCATTTAACTCTGTGTCAAAGAAAGAATATTAACCCGTGCAGAAATTGCCACTTTTCATCCCGATTACTGACCTGGACCTGATCCAATTTCCTGTTCTGGCCCCGGGTTAGTAAATTTCTATGGGCCCGACCAAGGCCAGGCCTGGTTGCCATATTTAAAATTTTTAAAAAACTAGTGAAAATACATTATAGCATTTTATGACATTTTTTACTATCTAAATCTGAATTAGTAAAAATGTTTACTAATTTAAATAAGTTACTTACTTTTTGCTTATCAATTAGTAAAATTTTACTAATTATTAGTAACTTTTACTAACAATTAATAAAATTTAACTAATTCTAAAGCAAAAAGTGATTCTCTCTTAAATTTTACTAATTGTTAGTAAAAGTTACTAATAATTAGTAAAATCGTACTAATTCATAAGCAAAAAGTGAGTCAATAATTTAAATTAGTAAACATTTTTACTAATTCAGATTTAGAGAGTAAACGAAACAATTATTTATTTTATAAGGTGTTTTTTTAAATGCAGATTCATAAAATAAAATAATATTGATTAATTTTATTGTTTTATTTATCAATTTGAGATAAATAATTATAATTTATTGAAAATTACAATTACTATAAGATCGGGCAAATTACCATGGCCCTGGTCGGGTTCCCTGTTTCATTTCGATCGGGACCAGATCAGGTTGCCAGATCTGGCCCCGGACGTGTCTGGTCTGGGCCCGTTCAAATTTTCTGCACGGGAAGTATTACTACACGGAGAGAAATAGATGGTAAGAACTTATGATCTTAAGATGGTAAAAAGTAAATGTTATCCGGTACCATCATTATGCTACTCGGTACTATCAAAGATGTTACAAAAAGTATGGTTATGTTAGCCACTACAATCTAAATAGTAACAGATAGAATCTATAGATAGCTGTCCGTATATGTAAGATCAAACATGATACCTGGTACTATCTAGATAATACCCCGTACCACACGGAGAGAAAAGTTACGGTTGTGGCTACAAAACATGTTTAGTAGCCTAAAATATTGTCATGACAACTTTATTAGCAGTTGTTGTAACTAAACAGCTAGCTTTGAGTTCCGTTTAGTTTACGATACTCAACAGTGTTTTTGGCCTCACTCTCTTTTGAGTGAATGCTACGATATTGCTTATGTTCCCCCACTTTTTATTGAGATGTTAAAATGTCGGACGCTTCTTTCTCCAAACAGTACACTTTGTTTATGTTTTTATTTAATTTTTTTTTTTTATCTTATTTGAATAAATTTATATTGAAATTATTAGGAATTTATCAACAGTGTGCATTATTATTTATTTTTAATGAAACATGAAAATAATATAATCAACACATTATAGGTTATGTTTGCTATGTTCAAAACAAAAGCAGCCATATTAGATTTTTAACTGATTTAAAGGTTGGCACTATTGTACACTGAACATGTTACTGCTACTAGACGGCTGTTTAGTAAAGCTTACTCTTATATTGGTCCGTCGAAAATTAACAATACTGTTTAGTTACCACGAAGCATTTATTTCTCTCCGTGTAAGAATCAAAAATAATTAAAAAATGTTATTTAAAAAAAAACTGAAAATTACCTTGCCGAGTAGGTGGGGAAACTTCGCCAAGTTGTGCCGTGGGGTGCTGAAACAGCGATTTTCAATAATCATCTGTTAATAATTTAGATTGTTAAAAATGCTATTTACACTGATCATGTTGCGGATGCGGATTTCGATAAGCATTGGAATGATGTTTTTAAAATTACTCTAATTTTATCTGTTCGTAAAATATTTCATTTTTTATTAACTTTTGTTAGTTAATTAATTAATATCTCGAAAACAAAAAATAATGCCATCTCAGAAATATACCAATCGATTTATTATGACTTAAACAATATTCATGATTTTTTACGCGCTTCATAGAGAGGGAAAACATGTTTGAAAGTTATAAACAAATTTTATTTTTTAAACAAATTGTTTAAAAATTAATATTTTTTTTTCATAATTTTTTTCTAAAAGTTTAAGGTCTTCTGCGTAAAAAACATTGTCAACATTTTTCTCTACTTTTGGTAGGGAAAAAGTTATAAGTAAAGCAAAAAAATATTGCTCTAATTTGTTATTGTTCGACAATCTTGTTAGTTGGTTAATGCGATGTTGCCACATTGCTATTATATATAGAACTTTTGGTACATGTACAAACACTACTTTTGGCATGATTGATTAATTGAAACTCAAAACGGAAATAGAAATTTTGCTTGTTTTTCGAAAATACTGTTTTTAGGAGTTTTCAAAAACAGTAGGGAGTTGTGCTTCACCGTTGAAAATTGAGTAAAAGGACATATTTTTTAGAATATTCTTTATTAAAATTATGAAATGTGAAAAAGTAAGATAACTTACATATAAAATAAAGTAATAGATAATTAAAAATTAATTTTAGATAATTTAGGTAAAATTAAATTATTTTAAAAATAATTGAATTAAACTAGGTAGTTAATTTCATTTACAGTGAATACAGATGTAAAAAGTCTCATTTCACTAAAGAACAATATTTATATATTTCATAAAACATTCTAATTATTCATAAATAATTTGAAATGAAAATAGAGTGTGCGTATTAGAATTAAAAACTGTTAAATATATATGATGTGTGAGGCACAACTCCCTACTAACGTTGGAGCAAATAAACTCCCCATGTTCTATATTTTCAAAATAGTCATTTTTTTAATTAATACATCGAATGTTTATGCGAATTTTTTTTTGCACGTCGAAAGTTATTAATGACAGCTAACTTTTATGCATTTAACATTGTGATCACTTTGAAAAAATTAGTGGAAATTACCTAAACATAAAGAGACAAAAAAACTTTCAGAAAAAAATTTTAACTGACTATCTGTAAAGACACGAAAAATGCTTCCAAAGATGACGAGTATCACTTAAAAAGTTAATTCTTAACGAGAAATGAATATACCAATATTTAAAAGTCATATTAATTGCCATAATGAAAAAATGAAGGTGGAGCACGACTCCCCACTCTCCCCTTTTGTGAAATGCAATTGCGTTTCACAAAATTACACTTTTTTTCTTATTTTTATTATTTTGCCTCCTAACATGAAAAATATTTTTTGAAATATAATTTACGTTTAATACATTTAATAAAGAGTATTATGTAAAAGAAAAATATTATTATTCAACGTATTAGAAAAAAATGTTACTTGAGCTCGATTTTCAAGAGTAATCCTACCTTAAATTGATCATAAGGAACAAAACAAATAAAGTTTGGAAACTAAATATACATATATATAACGACATACGTAAATTGTAAAATTGAAATATTTTTCGATGTTATCATCGACTCTCATTCATTGGAACAATATTTACCTTCTCAATTATTAAAAGTCCTATTAGTCTTGCACTTTAATACAGATAATAATAAGAACTATTCTAAAAACTGACCTAATGTAAATATATAATGTTTTTCATAAGCTCATCTACCCTTTTTCGCACTTTCTCTCTCCCTTCCTTAACTCTGTTCCACACACTACGTGTGTATATCTATATAGCTTATTCCCTTATTCGTTTTACTCCGCCTCTCTTCTGCTGGGTGTTCTCTTTAGCTAGCAGATCGTCCTTCGTTCGTTGCATGCCTATTGACGAATGAAACACTATCGCTAGTGAAAATACGCGTTACGTTTATTTGACTTGCGTATAGCCTCACTAGAAGTTAAGTTTCATGGATAAACCGGCTGAGCCTACAGACCCTTGCCTGCCTTTTAGCACGCGCCCTATATACATAAAGGTATTAAAAACAGTTTGGTTTCAAGAGTTATCCACTCATAAAATAAGAAAGCAAAAGAAATTAAATATTTTAACACCTCTTAATCTTCAAACAAGATGTTTGTTATTTATATTCACAGAAATATTCATTTTCAATATAATAAACTAAAATTCAAATATACTTAAAAACATTAGAGATTTGTATTAAAAAAAATTATTTTTTCAACTTTTTTACTATATTAACTATTTTAGTATTATAAAATTATACATATATGTTTGTACTACATTGAATATTAAGTAATTCATATTACTTCAAGTAACTGATTGGAAAAAGACGTGATTTTGTTTTTACAGTTTTTTATAAAATATTTACTTTATATGTATATATATATATATATATATATTATGAATTTTTTATTTTAGGAAAATTTTGCAAATACATTAGTCAGTGTGAGATAAAAAGTTAAGTAAGATTGTTTATTTTTTAAAAAATTGATTGCTAAACAAATTGCATTTGCAAAAATTAATTGCTTCGTATTTACATGAAGCATACACATACATATATGTATATGTATATATTGTGTATTAGAAAGCTTAATAGTGTGCACGCCTCTGCTACTAACCCTATTTGTAGGGCCCTTTTGGGCCACAACGGGTGGTCATTCGTACGAATTCCCCACTTTGCCCGCCCACAAGTCCCCCACCCCCGAAGAATACGGGACTCAATGGGACATCATCTATTTAGGACTCTCTCTTTAGATCTAGCAAGCAGTTTAACTAAATCCATCCGGCGGGAAGACTGTTTCACTTGACAACTTTTATCCGAAGAATATATTGTGCTGTTTAGTTTTCGTTTTCAGTGTCAAATATGAAAATGTGTTCAATCTTTTTATTCTTTTTAGTGAAATTAGTTCTCTCGTAATATGTTGTGTTTGTTTAAGTTCAAAAAACATACATTATTGTCAGTGATATTCGCCACCTGTGATATTAAACATAAATGAATATAATAGTTATTCAATATTTATAACAACTTTCACATTATCTTATCGTATTAACGGATATCTTCAAATTGTGGAATATATGTGAACGTCTTTACCAAATAAAGGGTGAGTTTTATAGTTATTTAAATTAGTCTGTCGTCAATTCGTAAATGAATAAATAAAGAAAATAACAAGTACTGCTTAAAAGAGAATATTTTAAATAAACAAACTTTTCATTTAAAGAGTTAAATGTTCTCAGTAGGGTAGGGTATAAAATAAGAGTTATAAACTTTAAAATATTAAGTCCAATTTGGTACAAGATTTTTATAAAAAATCAATAAAATTTTTCTCTTAATTTAAGACTAAAAAAATTTCAAAATAAAATTAGTGGCATATTTGCAAAAATCTTTTTAGGAATTTCTGTTTACGTGAGAAATGACTTTATATTATAAATACACTTGTGAATATCCGAGCGACAATCCATTTTTCTGAGTATAAAGTTTGAGAAATCAGCTATTCTTTTCAATTGTATTTCTCCCTATATACCATACGGAGAGTAACGTGAAGCGACGGAGGTGATCACGAAAGAAATGCTAATAGAATTATTGTCCGCATCACGTCCGAGACGAACATTACCGGCAACATATCACGTTTCGTAGTCCTGACAATAACATTCCTTGTCGAATTTTTTGGTCTATTTTACAAACGCTTTTAAAGCGTACATAATGTATGCCACAAAGCGTTTTCTTTTTCTATAAATTGAAAGATTGTTCCTCACCGATAGCATAATGTTTTTCGGAAAATGTCTTTCTTGTGGTAATATAGTTGCCGAAAATTTTCTATAAAAGTTACAAACAAGAAATAATTATTAACAAATATGTATTATGTTCGATTAAAAGTTTGTCGAAATTTATTTCGAAAAATAGAATTTAAAAAACTCATCTTAATAAACACATTAAAAAGAAAATCTTATTCTAAAGATACACTTAAAGTTAAATAGTATATGGTTAATCTTAATTTAGGCACAAAATCTGTCTTAAAAATATTGTAACTTAAAACAAGACTTTCCCTTTCTTAAAATAAAATTATTTTATTTATAGCAAAAAACACATTTTACATTCTTATTTTAGGATAAATCACAGGTTAAATTAGTCTTACATTTTTTTTCTTTTTTTTACTGCGTCGATAAAAACGTTGGTAACCTCATCTTTTGTCTGCAATATACCAAAAACGATAGTTTTATTACATTACTGCGTATGGATAATATTGCATGCGAGTGTCCTTTAACTGGTGTCAGTTCCTTGACTTGTATTATCATAACCTTCGTACAGTTTATTAAGTAAATAAACAATAAATACTCTTTTTATGGATAGAAGAAAAAAATTAACAAACGGTAATTATATATTTACAAACAACTAGTGTTTTCACAAAAATATTCAAGAAGTATGTTTGAAAAATAGCAAACCATTAATTAATGTCTTTATTAAGATTTTACACGCTTCATTTAAATTTTTTAAAAAATGTTATTACAAGTCAAAAGTTTTAATAATAAAGTATAAATTTACTGAAAATTGTCAAAACCCTTAACAGTTTGACAACACTTGTGATGAAGCACTTAAAAATGATTCCGACGTTTCTGAAAACATAAACTTCTGAGTGTAGAAATTGGACATATATATATATATACATATAATAAAAGTGATAAATTTTTGCCGTAATTATTTATACAATCTTCGTAGCAATAATGTTTTTTTTATAGTCATCCAAATTATCGCTTTTTCCATTTCTTCACGTGTCAACGCGAAAAGATTAGTATAAGAAAATTTTCTAAATATATATATAATATATATATATTCTCATACATGAATCTATCGACAGAAAAGAACAGAATTTTATTAATATTTAAATGTATTTGAAGAAATGTCACTACACATATTTTTTGCATCTTTACCTTTTCGTAAAATGTGTTTATTTTGAAGTTCTGTTTCGCGTCTAAGTAATCTAATCTAAGATTATTTAAAAAAGACATTTCTTTATTCTGTGTTTTAGTGTCTTTTGTTAAAACATCTATGAAATTCACGCCGTTTTTGCAGTGAAGGTCTGGGCTTTACGCCGCATCCATATAAACAGGTTATAAGTTTGGAAATATATATATATATATATATATATATATATATATGTGTGTGTGTTTGCGTGTACTTGATCAGACCAAACGTTTCTTGAGGAACGTTTTTATACAAATCATGAAAATTATGAAATTTTTTATGGAATTTCTGATCATTTTAAACTTTTGTATCTATAAGACTCGAATTTATACACTTTCGTTGAAAATGACATCATGAAAATTTTATCATTTATCACCTGAAAATCATGGAAAAATCGTCGAATTTTGCGAAGAGAAATTTGTAGAAACCCTGATTAAAATCTTGGGATTTCAAATTGCAGCATCAATAATAAATATTTTCCAATGCCATTGTATGCATATATATATATACATAGTATAAACTATAAATACCACTAACCATACTATACACACGCACTTTATCTATTATTAGAGTAATTAAATATCACATTAATTAGGTGTTAATTTGGTATTTACTACATCGTTTTCAAAGAAAACTTAGTGAAAACGACACTATCTGCTAATAGAAAAAGAAAATCTATACAAATTTTTCATGTTTTTAGGGTCGACTAAGCATCGATGTGCTTTTTCTGATAAAGATCTTGAGCTCGGTTGGAGACGCAAGATTATAGCGTGGCAAAAAAAACACTATATCTACCAGATGTGCTTTTCACCATGGTTTCACTATGATTTTGGCCTTTATTAACAAACAAAAATGAAAATACATTTTCACTTTTACATATTCTACTTTTTAATCGAATTTTTAATTCCAAAATCACAATTATATTTTTAAAAATAATTCTATGTAACAAATTACAGATATAATTGTTTTCTCGTATTTATTTAATTACAAAAACTTTTCTTAGAGTCCTTTTGGAACATATAATATGAGTAATATTAGGATTACGTTCGAAGTAGAAAACAAAAAGTGAGGAATTATTATTATTATATTATAAGAAATACCCAAGATCAAAGTTTCTTGCTAAAGAAATCTACAAGAAATTTTAAATAACATTTTGAATATATAAGCATTACTGAGTGTGTTCGATTGATACGATTTTAAAAATATTTCTTACAATTACTATAAAGTTCAAATCTTATATTGATAATTTCTGTCAATTTTATATTACTGTAAAAAATTGAAAAATAATAAGAAATACAGAAAAGTATTTTATTTATTAAACTTTACTAATATGTTCAAATTTTTTACTTTTATTTCAAATAAAATATATAAATTATATTAATGAAAATAATTTAATTAACCATTTTTGTTCTATGTTTATTACAACATAAATTTTCTTAGCAAATTTAAGAAAATGACAATATTTAAGTAAATGAATAAAAGAAATAAGTAATATTTCACTCAGATATTTTTTATTATTTCTTATTTCCATATTGCTTCTGTTTTTAGTCAACTTTGGCAAAGAATTTTCTACAGAAATTTAATTTAAGTATATACATATATAATGTCACGTTTTGTGGTAAAAATATTTTAAGCAGTTTTTCCTAACAATTAATGTAAATTTTCACAGAAAAAACCTGCTAAAAATGAGTCAGCTTGACTCATTTTGAACTGCAGCAAAAATGAGACCAGAGTTTTTCTTTGTTGCAGTCAAAGTATAATTATAATCCTTTTGTGTTGTATACATTTGACACGGGATTTTCATGCTTTGATATTTTTTCTTAAATATATCAGTTTGAAATGTTGATGCGATTCTAATATAAGGAGTTATGAGAAATAATTAAGTGGAAATTGGTTTGTAATATAAATTAAAATTGATTTCATTGTATACCCCTTAGGGGTCTTTACAATTTGCTCACAACTTTTATTTAACTCTTTGAACTCAACAAACTCTTAAAATTGCGGCTGTAGACCGACTTTTATTAGAAGCACTCGCATTTGCCTGGACTTTTGGCCAGGGGAAAGGAAAACTACAGAAAACCTCTCCCGAGCACAGCCGGTTTATTGACAGTCGAGTTGTGAATGTATATTTGTATAATAATCATCACAAATGTACAAACACATCCTCGGCGTCAAACCTCCCGCTTGATATATCTCGATCACAGTGAAAACACCAGGGCTATAGCGAGCACCGAGGCGGTCACCCATCCAAGTACTAACCGTACTCAGCTGTGCTTAACCTTAGTGATCGCAAGCCAAGGTGCTTCACCGTCCGATCTATATCATCGGTTGGTTTGTAATATATATATATATATACTTACATACTTTCCCCAATTTTGTGAACTCAAAAAATATTTTTTGTGAAATTGGTTGAATTTTCTCAAAATTTTGTTATATGTTTATTTCAGTAATTATGTTCTATGTCATGTAGTAATTTATTGATATTATTGCAGGGAAGTGAAAATCAGTAAACTTTGTGTAATTTGATGGTTTCATAAAAGCAAAATAAATAAGTTTAAAATATCATAACATTTGAGCAGTTATATGTTGTGACATGGTAAACAGAAAATTAACAGTTTTCACTAAAAGATAATATATATGACTGAATTTGGATGTAATTATATCTACATCAGTTTAGTTTGACAAATTTTTAAGTTTTAAAAATATATGCTACTCTAGCGAATGAAAAAATGACCTATTTTAAAAATGAATTTACAAACAACTGACAAGTTGAAAGATGGACAGCTGTCTGTACGCCACTGGCGCAGTACTGCGGCAGCGTTGGCAGCGCTGGCGGCAACACTCACAGCCAGCCCTGGCGGGAAGCTGAAATAATAACATGTAGCTACGCTGGCGAAGTGCTGCCAGCCAGCACTGGCGCAGTGTTGTCTGTCAGAGCTAGCGCAAAGCCTCGCCCTTGCCCCTAAAAATATATTTATAATTTTAATTTAATAAATAAACAGTATTTATAACTTAATCAGTTGTGAAAAGTAATTGATTGAATCAGTAAACATCAGAAACTTATATACTGATATAATCAGAAGAATGCACAATTCTAACCCGACAAATAATGATCCCAAAGTCGACCCAACTTCAATTAGGTAGTAACACCTACAAAAAAAAATTAAATATGGAATTAATTATACAATTAACACATTATTTATAATGTGAGACCTTATATATTTACCCCTACCTATTATTATTATTATTTAACGCAGTCGCTAACATAAATTTTTGAAAATATTTAACGCTCGCTGGGATCGAACCTTCTAACCTAACGCACCGCAGGCTAACACGCTAACCATTACGCCACCTTAACATGGGAAAGTAAATACAAAATTGATTTGATAAGTTGCGACTGGAGAAATGAAGACTTGAGGAGCAGAACAATAAAGAAACAATAATTACATATAAAATTATAATTTACTTTTAATGTTAAATAATTTATTTAACATATATGAGAAAATATTTTCATTTTTTTATTTCTACCATTTGGTAAAAAAACTTTTTTTGTTTAAAATAAGATTATTTTTTTCATTTTTAAATTACTTTGTGTAAATTAAAATTGAAATTAATAATTCTTATTAATTTAATCAATTAAATTTTAATTATATAACATAAAAATAACAATAATTAAATAAGTATATTTTCATTAATTTATTTATTAATTATATTGAATAGGAAAATATATATTTAATAGATAAGAGACTCGTATAATGAAAATTTGAATGAAATCAAATAATACATAGTTTTTGAATTTGAATTCAGGTGGAGAGTTGGGAATAATACGTCAGCAGGACAAGGAAGAAGCAAAAGCGGCAACGAAGCTGGCGGGGAACGTGAAGGCAGAGTTCAAGTGCAAGAGGGAGAGTTGGTGGGGGGAAAGTGGTAATAACGAAAGAGAAATAGAAAGAGGTACAGCCGGGGCGAGCGGAGAACTGGCGGCTCGCCTTCAGGGCTACGCCATGGCAGGGTTTCTCAAGACAACTGTTACTGGCGTGCCAACAGGAACTGCCCAGTATCATCTCCACGGTCATCCAGCTATGGGGATGGGCACACATCCGCATCCACATACTCATGCTCATCCTGGAGGTCCTCATCCGGGATTGCCATCCCCCTTCAGTCTTGCCACTCACGGCCATCCACATGGCCATCCTCTCGATCACAGTCTCTCGGCATTTCCCCAAGGTGAGCTTTTTCGTTCAAATTTTCTTTCATTTTTTAACTTCATTTAAGTAATGTTTTTACTTTAACTCATTAGAGGGGGAAGGAAAGTTTTCATTTTTTTTAAAACTCGCTCCAATACCGCAGGGTAATTTAAGCCATACGGGTGTTACTAAATATATATATAGAGTCATGCGCATTAAGCAGGCCTCAAAATAACCTTATTTTAGTGACAGCTCAAACAGAATTAATAAATTAATTAATAATAATTAATAAAAAAGTATAGTTTCTCCATATCTAAACAATCTTTTCTATTTAGTTGCCAGAATAAACATAAAGTAAAAAGTATTCAATCAAAATATATATTAAACATACAATATACTAAACAAAAAGAAATATTTTAAGACATCTATCCAACGGTACGAAGGTACAAAATAATACTGTCTACTATACATATACTTGAGAAGCCCCAACTTTGTTCCGTACATTTGTGGCTTCAGTCAATACATCGATTTCCCTTGTAATCAATAACATATTATAAAAGTATTCAGTAAAGATACGACTTATTTTATTATTCTATTATTTAATTTTATCAACAAAACCTAATAAAAATTACCGCCAATTAGGATAACGTTAAACTACATCCTTCACTCTGTTTTCGTTTTTTTTTTTTTTGTGTGTGTTTTAACAACGTATCATGTCCATTTATGCTTTTTTGTCCAAAAAATATATGCTATTGATATATCTATACAGGAACTTAATAATAATAATATTCTGAACAAAAATTTTCACCAAACTCAATACCTACATTTGAAAATAATTGAGGTTTTGAAAAATTCTAAGCGCTATTTATATAAGAATTGCAGAGAATTTCAAGACAACTTCCTAAACTTACTACAGAAATTCTTGAACTCGTTTTAGAATAATTTTTTACGTTTGCGAGAAAAAAAATTTACTGTAAGAGTACTCGAATCCACGTTCTCGAGACTCCAAACTCTTCCTTTTAAGTCTCTCACCTACCTTAGTGCAGCTTATGGTATTATACATTGGAAACATATTTGACGCAATCAATCCCTGCCCAGCGCAGGGAAAAAACCAATAAAAAAATTTTTTTGATATAAAACAGTTCAAGAATCTTTCAGAGCCCAGTGACTAATATTCCGATCTCTGTATTAACAACAAGTCTTTCAAAATTATAATAAAAATACATGTATTTTCTTGAATAATTTTTGCACTTTTCTGTAAGTTTTGCAGAATTTTTCTCATATCCTCAGTTCCTGAACAAATTCAGGAATGATTATTATACAAAGTTTTTCCGTGTATTTATGACTCACATCAAACCATAAAAAAATTTTATCTTATTTTTTATGAAAATGAATGTTTGCAGACTTACCTGCAAATATAATTACAGGAAAAACTTAAATTCTTGAATGATTTATGAAAATTTACGATATTAAATAACAGAATTTTTAGGTCAGGAATATTATGAATTGACAAGTACAAGTGTCAAATATATATTCATATGATTTTAAAGTTGATTTGACTGAATTTAAGAAAAAAGTGATAACTAAGATGTAAATAGTAAATTTTACATTACTTAAAGGGATTTAATATAGTCGACAACTCTGTAGTTGTAACAAATATATTTCAAGTATGAAACTGGAATTACTATTTGTACTTATAATTATTGAGGTTTATTTTTTCATATTTCGTTATTGTTTATATCTGTACAGATAATTTTACTTGCAGCGATGCACTGAAAAATCATTGAAATTTAATTGATTCATCAGTGTATATACATTGATTGGAAAAAGTTGTATACTTTATACCTGATTCAATAGAGGTACAAATAGTGAATAACTATTCAGGGTGTACAAAAAGTATGAAAACTTTTAAATATTTTGAAAAGTACACAGTAAAAACCTGGGCTCATTTTTTCTGCGGTTCAAAATGAGCCAATGCTAAAAGACATAAAACGTGGCGCCACCTACTTGACTCATTTTTGCTGCGGATCAAAATGATCCTGCTGGCTGGATCATTTTGAGCCCGGGTTTTTACTGTGTACGCATTTTCGTGAACAATATACAACACAAAAGTTGTTCCCGACAAAAAGATCTACACTTTTAAACCCAAAAAATTGTGCCTAGGACCCAACAGTGAAAAAAGAAATATCACGAAAATGCATAGAGATATAAGAATAGAGTGCGCAAGCCTGTACAATTTCCATGTTACGCTGCGATAAACCAATAGAAGAAGACAGATGCAACTAGTGGGCCCTGCCTTCCTTCTTGTCTATTAACTAACTCTGAAACATCAGTGAAACAAGGATGGGAAAGGGGCCTACAAATCGCATCTGTCTCTTTCTATGCAACGCATATAATATGTCGTTTTTTCGAGCCTCTTGCGCACTCTATTCTTATATCTCTATGCGAAAATGCATACTTTTTGAGATTTTGCACCAACTTCTTTCTAAAAAAATATATGAACAGGATTTTTTTGATTTTAAAGTTTTTTTTTAAATTTTTTCTACGTCCGTTCGAAAGAATTCAATGAGCCCTAAATTATGTCAAAGTAGAATTTTAAATATCTGATTTTTTATTTGGGTTTTGAAGTGAGTTTTGCCAGCTTAGAGTTAAGGTAGCACCAACTCCTTTTTTAAAAAAACTATGAAGATTTTTTTTTGATTTAGAATTTTTTTTAAATTTCTTTCTGCGTCCATTTGAAAGCCCTAAATGAGCCCTAAATTATGGCATGATAGAATGTTAATTATCTCTTTATTTATTTGGTTTTTTAAGCGGTTGGTGCCAGCTTAACGTTAAGGTACTACAATTAATATATTTGAAATGACAAACATGGACAAACATGATTTAATTTTAATCATTTACATTGGTAAATTTAACTTCATAAAATTAATTCACACTACTTAAAATTTGGTTAATACAATTCAAAAAAATTTAATTATCGAAATATAGTTAATTTTATGGCATCATTTTTTTCGGTGTACTTAATGTAATAGTTTCAATCTTATTAGTCTATACTTCAACTGTATATTTATTAAAGCCAAGTTCTCGTTTATTGTTCTGCGCGGTCCAAATATACACTGTTAGAAAAATCTGTATTAGATTTAATATACATGCGTATGAAGCGAATATGCACTACAGGTATTGAAATCTAAGATACATGTATATTAAATTTAAAGTGACAACATGGCGGCTGTAGATGCCTATTTCACCAAACGGTCATTATTTCCTTGATATTGAAAATTTATTTGAAATTGAAACAACAGTGCGTAATTCTTTAACTATTGTGTTGTTTATGTCCAAATAATGTTTTATAAGGGGAAAATTTTTCAAAAAAAACATTCTAAATACAAGAATTTTAATACTTATATGTGACATTTAGGTTAATTACTATAAATGTCAAATTATATGCATTTTTACAATGTAAATTGATTTAAACTTGTATTTACATGAAAGAAATTACTTTGCTTTATTAATAAAAACCTTATTTTGTACACAAGAACATGTATAAATTGAGTAAAATGCAATTTTTTTATTTGAATTTTTTTCAGTGACAAAATTTAATATACTTTGTATATGAATTACACTGTAATATACCAGTTTCTTAAATTTAAGTACTTTATGTATATTAAAACTACAAACATTTTTAACAGTGTAGTTAATGGTGAGAAGCATACTTTATTATGCAAAGCTTTTAGTGATAAGTGCTGCCACGTCTATAGGCCTACTTGCCAATTCCTACATCAAATTCTTTCTAACCTTTAACTTTCGTCAACTTTACTTGTTTGTTTAACTCTTTTTATAGGGCTTCGCCCCCTCCGCACCACATTAAAGCTCCGCCCTGGGCCCGCCTCTCTTTCTCTCCAATAATCCTTGTCCAAACCATTGTTTTCTAACCCCATAACTATCATACGCTGCATACAATACCGTTTGCATCGAAGATCATATTAAAGAAGAAGAAGAAAAATTAAATTAAAGTATTTTAACAATGTTTTTTACTTTCATTCTCTTTTGTCTAAAGTTGCTTTTAAAAAATGATTCCAAATTTAAACGACTATTTTTATTTTCATTATTATTTAATTATTTATAAATAAGTCATGTCATTAAAAAAGAAGGAAATTTTACGTTGCAGATAAATTTCCTCAATCCTGAAAATTCAGTTTAACTCGATATGAATGTCAATGAGTATTTCAATCTTGGGGTCCCTGAATCTGCATCTTGGACCAAAATTCAAAAATTTTAAATTAAGATTTTTTTAATAGTTGTAACAGGCCTGTCTGAAAATACTCACTCGGTGCAGTTTTCAGAAGTTTCTTAAAAAATAAAATGTGATAACCGAAGAGGAATTTACTCATTGTCAGTTAATCCAATGGACATTTTTCCTGTACCTAATACACAGAAAAAACTTGGACTCATTTTTGTTGCAACTCATTTTCTTTTGGGTATCGAAATGAGTATGGGACAAACTTCATGTTATTCAAAATGATATTGGCTGGAATTTCAGATTTCTAAGTTGGCATCATAAGCAGAGTAATTTTGTATTTCAATTATTGTTTCTAATATTTCAACAACACCAGAAAGATTATTTTGACCAGTACGAATATTTAGAAGTTTTTAAATAAAAATTATTTATTATTATTTACGTAGATAATAATTAATTTCATAAGTTTTTAAATTTACCGCTATTATTTAAGTTGGCAGTACCCTTCCTGTTGTCAAAACACATGTTTTCATTTTTCTAACCTAAAAACATATTTCCTTTATTATTTTATTACGCGATTACAAGCAATTTTTAATCAAATATATTAAGTCTAGCGTGTTATTTACTTCTTTGTAATTATTATATTTCATGTTTTTGTGCAAAATTATTCGTTATTTCACAATATTTTTCCATTTTTCTTTTTCTCAAAATGAAACTTGCCTGTTTCATTTTGATACTTTTACCTTAGAACTCGAAATGAGACAACCAGTTTCATTTTTGTTGCGAATCAAATTGAGTATAGA